AGTGAATTCCACAGGCTCCCCACACTCTGGCTGAAGTCATTTCTCCTGAAATGGCCTACCCTGTACCTTTAATCACTTAGCCTTGGTTCAAGATTCCCAGTCATCCGGAATATCCTTCCTCCATTTACCCTTTCTATTGCTGTTAGAATTTTAAAGGTTTTTGTGAGGTCTTCCCCCGCCGCATTCTTCTGAACTCAGTGAATTTTACATTTAGATTTATGTTTTATTGTCACAGGTATAAGAGTACAGTGAAAAGTGTACAATGTCACCACGTACAGTGCCATCTTAGCTACAAAGTACCCAGTGCAAAATCTTAGTTACAGAAATAGAAAAAATAGTTTAAAAAGTTCAGCACTACAGTCTTCTTAGCATAAAAACTAGAAAGATAAAGTTAAAAAGTCAAACCTTTCTTAAGCTGTGAGCCAGCAGATGCTGTAAGCAGGGCTTTCCTCAAGACAACTCATTCTCCCCTGGGCTGGGAATGTACTTACCCCCGCCGCTCCCCCTCCCTGTGCTAAGCTAAGACCTACACATGCACACCAGCCTTTGCTGCCGTTTGCAAGGCTTCGGCCCCGACCACCACATCGCCAGTGACGGTCACTGCCGCCATCACTGCTGCTATTCCGTGAATCAGTCTGGAAAACATGTGTTACACTCCCTCCATTACCAGAACATCCTTCCCCTGATAAGGAGATCAAACGTACACACAATATTCCAGATATGGTCTCACTACAGCTCTGCTCCTGTACTCAAATGCCCTCGTTATGAAGGCCAACATACCATTTGCCTTCTTCACCACCTTCTGCACTTGCACTCACTTTCAGTGACTGGTGTACAAGGACACAGAGGTCTCCTGGCCTAGCGCGGCAGTCTCCCAGCCTGGTGTGGGGATCTCCCGCCCTGGCATGGCGTCAGCATGGACTTCTGGCCTTGAGCTGATTCCAGAGCGGACTCCTGGCCTCCAGAGCCTTGAGGTGAAGGCGCAGTGTGGCCTAGAGACCAGGTGCCAGTGTGGGACTGGATTTTAAGGACTGTTGTTCAGAACTTTTCATTTCTCTATTTTCTAATTTCTTCCTATGATATATAATGCTGGACTTCTTATTTCTTTATTTTTCTAATTTTTCTTTCCTAAGAACTTGTACTGAAGAATCGGTACCTAGGTTCCTTGTACCTAAGATGTAGCAACTTGTAAATTCATCACTGTGCTTATCTGAGGGAGGCCATAATCTAGTGGTGTTACTGCTGGACTGTTTATCAAGATAACATTCCAGGGACCTGAGTTCTAATCCCGCCATGGCAGATGGTGGAAGTTGAATTTAACAAAATATCTGGAATTAAGAATCTAATGATGACTCTGAGTCGATTATTGGGGGAAATCCATCTGATTCAGTAATGTCCTTTAGGGAAGGAAACTGCCATCCTTACCTGGTCTGGCTGATATGTGACTCCAGACCCACAGCAATGTGATTGACTTATAACTGCCCTCTGGGCAATTAGGGATGGGCAATAAATGTTGCCTAGCCAGCGACACCCTCATCCTGTTAATGAATAATAAAATACCGAATTAAATTTCCTAAGCTATCACTCACATTTATCCACATTTTGCTTCATTTGCTATCTATGTTCTTTCTTTTTGCCTTTTCCCACTTGATTTGAATTAAAATCCTGAATGTCCATGGTGTGTATCCAAGTCAGTGTCAATTCAGTGGCTGCACTGTCTGTTTATTGGTGAAAGCTGTGCTTTCTGGCCATGCCAGGAAACAGCAGACCCGATGAGAGAGCATTCTGTTTAAACATCTCAGGCTGTGCTCTCCAATCCAACACCATCAACATTAACATCAAACTGACTGCGAGCACAAAGGACACTCGGGTGTTACTCACAACCACAAATCTTTCATCTTACATTGGTTTCATTTTCTCCAGTGAATCATTGTTGTTTGTTGGCACGAGATGAGTCACAGGGCTGAGGGTCATCACATTCTCCATGGGCTGGGCAAACATTGATGGGGTCAGGAGACTTGGGGACATTTCCATCATTGTGTGGGAAACAATGTTGTGTTTCTGTGTTCACTCCTTATTAAAAGGTCATTTTAATGTCTGGTCTTATCCTCATTTTACAGTGGGACCTGGCTGAGCTCTCAGGTTCAGCTGGCCCTGTCTTCCCTACTTTGGAAAGGGAACTGTTGATGATCCCATTCTGGGCCATCATTGAAATGTGAACTCAGAGCTCTGGAAGGACAACATCCTGAGAGAGGCTCATACATGGAGAGCACTGACACTGACTGTTAGGCCATCATTGCCTCACCTTCTCTTTCTGAACTCTCCATTGCTCCCCCATCAACAGCCCATGACACCAGGCCTTGCCCACTTCACTCCTCTATGCCCCAGATAATCTACATACCCCGTCTTCCTCTTCCACAAGTAACACGGAAACTATTACCACTTCCTGTTCCCCCCATCCAACCTGTCTCAAGCCTTTGATGCAGCAACTATTCTCCTGCTCCCATTTCTCATGCTGCAGAGGTTAAAGGTGAGGACAGTGTGACAGCCATCAAGGCCACACTTACCAAATGCGGCGTCAAGGAACCCCACCAAAACTGGAACCACAGACCAAACTCTCTGCTGGTTGAAGTCATACCTGGCACATAGGACAATGATTATGGTTTTTGGAGGTCAGTCGTCTCAGCTCCAGGACATCTCTGCAGGAGTTCCTCAGGGTAGTGTCCTAGGCCCAACCATCTTCAGTTGGTTCATCAATGACCTTCCCTCCATCACAAGGTCAGAAGTGAGGACGTTTGCTGATGATTGCACAATGTTCAGCAGCATGTACAACTTCTCAGATTCTGAAGCAGTCGATATTCAAATGCAACAAGATCTTATTCAGGCTTGGGTTGACAAGTGGCAAGTAACATTTGCACCACACAAATCCAGGCTATGACCATCACCAACAAGACAATATAACCACCGCCCCTTGACATTCAATGGTGTTACCATCACTGAATCCCCACTATCAATATCCTGAGGGTTACCATTGACCAGAAATTAACTGGACTCATCATATAAATACAGCAGCGACAACAACCAGTCAGATATTAGGAATACTGTGGCGAATATCTCACCTCCTGACTCCCCAAAACCTGTCCACCACCTACAAAACACAAGACAGGAGTGTGCTGGAATGCTTCCCACTTTCCTGGATGGGTGTCGCTCCAACAACACTCAAGAAATGTCCACTCCCTCCACCACCAACGCTCAGTAGCAGCAGTGTGTAATTTTCAGTCTGCAAATTCACTGCAGAAACTCACCAATGATCCTCAGACAGCACTTTCCAAACCCACGACCACTTCCATCTCGAAGGACAAGGGCAGCAGAAACATGGGAATACCACCTCCTGCAAGTTCCACTCCAAGCCTCTCATCATCCTGACTTGGAAATATATTGCTGTTCCTTCAGCTCATTGGGTCAAAATCCTGGAACCCCTCCCTAACAGCACAGCAGGACTACTTACATCACATACCTTCTCAAGGGAACTAGGGACTGGCCATAAATGCTGACCCAGTGAGCGATACTCATGTTCCATATATGGAGTAGAATAATGAATAATGGAAAGGCAATGGAAGTCAGTGAGCAGTGGGATAATAGGGGAATGGGACTGGTGTGAGATAACACTCAGTTTTGGCTGCCATTGTTTTTCAGGGCTCTGCAGTTCTCTCTTGACGTTGCTTTGATTGATCGATTGATTGATTTATTGTCACATGAAAAGCTTTGTTTACAAACAGTACAGGCAGATCATAGTAAGCAAGGATGTACGGATCAAAAAGACTTAGCCAAATGGCCTACTCCTATTCCCTATGTTGCTGAGTCATACAGAAGTGGTACACCATCCCTGTTACAATGTCAAGAATGGCACTGCAACAAAATCTTGTCTTTCAGGGAGAGAGAAAGATCAGCAAGAGACGGTATCCAAAACAGGGCGAATCGGAACAGTAGACAAGATTTTTTTTATCCATCCACAGGATAAAGGCATCACTGGCTAGGCCAGCAATTATTGCCTATCTGTAATGGCCAACAGGAAGAGTCAACCACAGCATTAACCCTAACCCTACTATCTCTGATACAATTTTAACCCCACTGCGAAGCCTCTTCTAAGGATGCCTAGCCTGAAGAAGTTATCCTCCTCCCTCCGGACAAACCTCAGGGGATCTCTCTCCCACTGCAACCCTCTCGCCACCTATCTTCTCCTTTATCCATCTTCTATCCGCCTCCCCCTCTCTCCCTATTTAGTTCAGAACCCCCTTCCCCTCCCCCATTTCTGATGAAGGGTCTAGGTCCGAAACGTCAGCCTTCCTGCTCCTCTGATGCTGCTTGGCCTGCTGTGTTCATCCAGCTCTACACCTTGTTATCTCAGATTTTCCAGCATCTGCAGTTCCTACTATCTCTGAAGAGTCAACCACATTGTTGTGGGTCTGGTGTCACATGTAGGCCAAACCACGTAAGGATGGCAGTTTCCTTCCCTAAAGGACATTAGTGAACCAAGTGGGCTTTTCCGGCAATCGACAATCAACAATGGATTCATGGTCATCTTAATTCCAGATTTTTATTGAATTTAAATTTCAATTTGAACCTGGGTTTCCAGAACATTACCTGGGTCTCTGGATTAACAGTCCAGTGATAACACCATGAGGCCATCTCCTCCCCGACAAAGAGAGAGAAGATAAAGAGCATCAGAAACAGAGAAGAAAAGGGAGTCAGAGAGACAGTATCAGAGATTAGGGTGAAGGAGAGAAATAATTAAGTATTGAGCTGGACTTGTATGACATTAAAATGAATTAACACTTCTGATCCAGTGACCTTTCATTTGTAACGTTCCCCAGTTTCTCTCTGCTTGACCTGCTGAGTTTCTCCAGCATTCTGTGTTTGTTTCAGACTACCAGCATCTGCAGTAGTTTGCCTTTGTAAAGGTACAAGTGGAGTGGTTAACCCTGCATGTTCCCAGCCTGTGGGATTACACAGACAACATTTATTGAACAGTATCTACAATCAAAAACATACTAAACACCAAGAATCTAATGACAATGCAACTCACGGGCAATTCACAATGTGGAGAATTTACAAAAAGTCGAGAAGTGGCAGCATGTAAAATAATAAAAATTGATTTCCAGCCACCCAGCCTGGGCTCTGACTGAATGACAGCTCCATCAGTTTTTGAATTGGTCTATGGTGACTGGCTTCTCTCGGTCTCTCTGTCCACATCCGGTCTTGGGCAGTCTGTCTATCCCTGTGTGTCTGTCTCAATGTGGTGTCATTGTCTGTCTGTCTCTCTGCCCAGGTCTCTGTCTGTCTGACTGTCTGTCCACATCCAGTCTCTCTGTCCCTATCTCTGTCTCCATCAGTCTGTCTGTACTGCGACCTCAAAGCCGGTCTCCTGCTTCTGGACCTGACGCAGTCCCTCAGTTCTCCACTGGCTCGGGCTCTTCTTCTGCCGTCCTGTTTCCAAAGCCCTGGAAGTGTTTCTGGAGCAGCCGTTGGTAACATCCGCCCTTGTCCTGCAGCTCCTGGTGTGTGCCCTCCTCCACCACCGTGCCAGCCTCCAATACCACAATGTGGTCAGCCCTCTCGATGGTACTGAGGCGGTGAGCAATAACCAGCACTGCACGCTCCCGATTCCCATTGTATACAGACTGCAGGACCTGGTGGGGGGCGAGAAACAGACAGGGGTATTAGACAGGGGTATTAGACATGGGGAACAGAGAGAGAGAGAGAGAGAGAGAGAGAGATGGGGAGGTTAGACATGGGGAAAGAGACACAGACAGAGACAGGGGTTGGGTTAGACACGGAGGTGGGGAGCGAGGGGTTCGACACGCGGACAGTGAGAGATGTGGCTTTAGAAATGGGGGACAGAGAGAGACAGGGGTGTTAGACACAGAGAAAGAGAGGGAGAGAGATGGAGGTGTTAGGCATGGGGAGAGAGAGAGAGATAGGGGGCTGAGACATGGAGAGAGCGTGAGAGAGGGAGAGCGCGAGAGAGGGAGAGCGAGCGAAAGAAGGAGAGGGGGAGAGTGGGGAGAGAGGGGAGAGAGAGACAGAAGGGGAGAGTGAGACAGAAAGTGTGAATTTGAGAGAGAAACGGAGAGCACAGGTGAGAGACAGAGAAATATAGAAAGCGAGCGAGTGAGAAAGAGAGAATGAGACAGAGAGAGAGCGAGAGTATGAGAGAGAGAGTGCGAGAGGGAATGTGTGAGAAGAGGTAGTGTGAGAGAGAGAGAATGTTAGAGAGACAGTGTGTATGTGTGAGAGAGAGAGTGTGTGTGACAGAGAGGGAGAGAGAGAGGGAGAGAGAGAGGGAGAGAGAATGGGTGAGAAACAGAGAAATATAGAAAGGGAGAGAGAGTGTGAGGGAGAGAAAGTGTGACACAGAGAATGTGAGTGTGAGAGAGAGAGAGCGCATGAGTGAGAGCGTAAGTGAGAGAGCACGTGAAAGAGAGACATTGGGAGACAGTGCAAGTGAGAGAGTGTGTGAGAGAGAGGGAAAAGAGACAGACAGAGATCAGGAGTGACATTTACTCCCACACTCACCGTGTTCTCAGTGACTCCGTCCAGGCAGCTGGTAGCATCGTCGAGAATAACGACAAGGGGTTGTCGGATCAGAGCTCGGGCAATGGCCACTCGCTGCTTCTGACCCCCAGAGAGCTGTTTGCCCTTCTCTCCGGCATCTGCAGATTGAAGGGATAGGGGGAGAGGAGAGGAGTGAAGGGGCAACACAGATGGACTGATAGCAATCTACTGTTCACAACAGTAGCAGTCCGTGTTTATGGCAGTCCGGCCCTCACGCTGACACACTGAGGGAGGCAGTCAGCAGCAAAACCTTACCCTCCCACTGGGCTCTGAATCCCCTTCAGTCTGTGCTCAGTTGCTCCCTGCTCCATGCCCAGTTGCCCCCCCACCTGCTCCATGCCCAGTTGCCCTCCTCACCGGTTTTGTATTGCTCCTGCAGTGCTGTGATGAAGTGGTGAGCATCAGCGCAGGTCGCTGCCTCCTCCAGCACGGTTTGCTGTGGCTCCCTGTCCAGGCCGTATGCGATATTCCTCTCCATCGAGCGAGCAAAAAGCACTGGCTCCTGACTCACCAGTGCCACCTAGGGACCATGCACAAGCAGCAGCTCAGAAATCCCACCAACAATGAAAGGTGGAACCCTACCAGGGAAGGAGTCACACTCACCACGCACATGAAAGGCTTCTGCTCAGAGCCCTGCTCTGGAATGGGGTGCAGGCTTACAGAGGCTACGGGTTGCTTTTCTGTGCTGCATTACCAACACACCCATGTTTCCATGGATTGCAATATAACCTCTCACCATCCCTGGGTATTTCACACTCTCTCACTGTCCCAGGGGGGGTGTATATGGCCCTCTCTCTCTCTCCACACACACACACACGGATCCAGAGGTGGGGAGTGTGGGTATATGACCCTCTCTCTGCCCCTTTGGGGTATGTGACCCTCTGCTCCTGCAGGGGGTAGGTGGTCCTTTCTCTCTGCCCCTGGAGGTATATAACCGTCTCTCTCTCTGCCCTGGGGATGGTATATGACACACTCTCTCTCTCTCTCTCTGCCCCTTGTAAGTTATATGATCCTCTCCCACTGGTCTGGGGGACTATATGACACTCTCTCCTGGATGGTATATGACCCTTCTCCCTCTGTCCCCAGGGTCAGGGGGTATATCCCATGCTGTTCCTCACCTTGTTGTGGTAATATTTGTGTTCATATTCCTCGATGGGTCTACCATCCAGCAGGATCTGTCCAGACTGAGGCTGATAAAATCTCTCGAGCAGATTCACACACGTCGTCTTGCCCCCACCACAGGGTCCCACCAGGGCCGTCACCTTACCACACTTCAGCTCAAAGCTCACGTTCTGAAAATGGGGCAGACTCAGTCAGATATTGCTCACAGTTTGAGTCAGTTTCTCATCTCCGTGTGGCCAGGGACAGCAGGAGGAAATTCACGAGTGTGTGACTTGAGTGTGTCCCACTATACAATGTAACCCTTCCTGACCTGAATCTGTTGTTCCCATTTTCTCACAGCCCTTTATCCCTCATTGGAAACACCATTCCTCGATCTCAGTTCTGGCAATTCGCTTTGACTTGCAGAATCACCAGTCTGTCACGGGGACAGAGTTTGTGATTCCTAGTTTTGCTCTGTGTGAAACGTTCTCCCTTGCTTCACCCCTGACAGCCTTCTTCTTCTGGACTACCCCACCCCCAACAAAGGAAACAGCTTCTAACTGCCCATACCCTTCAATACATCACCCCTAAGTTTCTACAGTCAAACTCAGCCTGAGTCAGCTGGCCCCTTTTAGACCATAAGACTACAGGATACTGGGGCAGAATCAGGACATTCATGCAATCGAGTCAGTCCTGCCGTGTGATCATGGCGGATATGTTTCTCAACTCCATTCTCCTGCCTACTCCTTGTAACCCTTGATTCCCAAGAACCTATCAATCTCTGCCTTAGATACACTCAATGACATGGCCTCCACAGCCCTTTGCAGCAATGAGTTCCACAGAGTCACCACCCTCTGGCTGAAGAAATTCCTCCTCATCTCCGTTCTGAAGTGTCATCGCTTTACTCTGAGGCTGTGCCCTCAGGTCTTAGTCTCCCAACTAGTGGAAATGTCTTCTCCAAGTCCACTCTGTCCATGCCTCTCAGTATCCTGTAAGTTTCAGTCAGATTCCTCGCCCCTTATCCTCATAAACTTCATCAAGTACAGACCCAGAGTCCTCAACTGCTCCTCGTATGCCAAGCCCCTCATCCCTAGGATCATTCTTGTGAACCTCCACTGGACTTCCTCCAGGACCAGCACATCCTTCCTTAGATACAGGACCCAAAACTGCTCATAATATTCCAAATGTGGTCTAACCAGAGCATTTTACAGCCTCAGCAAAAGTCATCTCTGCTCTTGTATTCTAGCTCCCTTGAAATGAATGCTAACATTGTATTTGCCTTCCTAACTGCTAACTGAACCTGCATGTTAACCTGAAGAGAATTCTCAACTAGGTCTTCCAAGTCCCTTTGTACTTCAGATTTACAAAGCTTTTCCCGGTTTAGAAAATAGTCTACGCCTCTATTCTTCCTACCAAAGTGCATAACCTCATACTTTCCCACATTGCATTCCATCTGCTCCTTCTTTGCACACTCTTGTAGTCTGTCCAAGTCCTTCTCCAGCTTTCTCACTTTCTGAACTCTACCTGTCCCTCCACCAACGTTAGCAACAATGCCCTCAGTTCCTTCATCCAGATAATTAATATATAATGTGAATTATTATGGTTGAAGGCCTTTTGGAAATCCAAATAGATCATCTCCACTGGCTCTCCTTTGTCTAACTTCCTCGTTAGCTCCTCAATGAATTCTAACAATTTGTCAGGCATGACCCCCCGTTGAAGCTGTGCTGACTCAGCCCTATTTTACCATGTACTTCCAAGTACGCCGCAATCTCATCCTTCATAATGCACTCTAAGATCTGACCAACGACCAAGGTCAGGCTAACCGGCCTGTAGTTTCCTGTCTTCTGCCTCCCTCCCCTCTTAAACTGGAGTGTTACATTAGCCATTTTCCAGTCCTGTGGGACCGTCCCCAATTCCAGTGATTTCTGAAAAATCACCACGATTGCCTCAACAATCTCCTCAGCTATCTCCTTCAGGGCCCTGGTGTATAGTCCATCTGGTCCAGTTAATTTATCCACCTTGACCCTTTCAGCTTCTCCAGCACCTTCTCCTTAGTGACGGCCACTACACTCACTCCTATCTCCTGACTCTTTTGAAGTTCTGGTATACTACTGGTGTCTTTCATTATGAAAGCTGTTATGAAGTACCCATTCAGTTCCTCCACCATTCCTCATTACTACTTCATCAGCCTCATGTTCCAGTGGTCCGATGTCCTTTCTTGCCTCTCTCTTACCTTTTAGCTATCTTTAAGAAAAGCTCTTACAATCTTCTTTCATGTTACTCACTAGCTCAGCCTCATATTTCATCTTCTCGCCCCTTAGGTGTTTTTTTCAGTAATCCTCTGCT